CTAGACTCCCCTCCGAACTCGTCGAGCAGTTGCCTTTACAAGTCTCTACCACCATTTACCGATCCCGGGCTGGGCCCTTCTCTTTGCCCCCCTCTATCAGGGATCCGAGCTACTGCGGGCCGCAAACCCGCTTAAAGAGGACAGGGAGCTTCGAACACTCCCTAGCGCTGTGCCGGTGGCAGTTGTTGTTTTTGTTGTTGTTGTTTGTGTTGGACCGTCGGACCTTGGTCTCTGCCTGACAGGCGCATTGCACTACAGTCGGGAGACCAGTGTAGTAGGACGCGAACCGAGGAACACGTGCTAAAACAAGGGTCGTTGGTGGGGTCGTGTACGTGGAGCTCGGGGGAAGTGGTAAAGACTGGTGGGCGACTGTAAAACCCAGGGGTGCTCGCGAACCTCGGAATCTAGGGGCGAACGACGCAGTGCTCCCGACCCAGCGGGGCTAACACACGGCCAGCGAACCGTGCGTGCAAGCGGGGAGGCAACACGCGACGCGGCCACGACGGTCCTATGGTGCGAGCGAGAGACAACGAGAGAGCGTGAACGAGGAAGGGTTAGTCGAATGTCTGCCCAAAAACCAGAACGAGACTGCGTCCTTGGTCCTTGGTTGCTTGTCCCCAAACCCACCCGGCGCAAGCGCCAATGACACTATATACTACTAGATCGCAGTCGAGATCTAACGGCTAGAAGTCGTGGGGCCGGGTCGTGGTGCACACGTGTACAGTTGTGGTGGTAGGTCCACGTGTGAGCGTGTCGTTATCAAAGTGAGCTTGGCTGGTGTACATGGAGCTTGGTACTGTACGTCGGACTGCTTGTGTAATCTAGATACGCGTGTACACGAGTCGCGCGAAAAAGAGTACTAGAGTACACGGGTTTATACCACAGACGTCCATGTTGACCACTTAATTGAAGTGTTCGAGCTGATTGCTCCCAGTGGATTGAAGTTGAAGCTTGCGAAGTGTTCCTTCGCGCAATCACAGACCAGGCTATTGGGGCACGTCGTGGGAAAGAAAGGGATTGAGGTGGATCCCGAGAAGACATCGATCATTTGGGACACCCCCGAGCCGCGCACAAGGACGGAGTTACGAAGCTTCCTTGGGCTAGCGGGGTATTACCGCCGATTTATCCCTAAGTTCTCAGAAGTATCTGCATCGTTGCATGCTGCTACTTCTACCAAAGTCGAATTTGAATTTACGGAAGAGATGCGAACCGCCTTCCAGGAGTTGAAGAATAGGGTGACGTCTCCTCCGCTGTTGGCGCTCCCGAACTTTGACGAACCCTTCGTGGTCGATACAGATGCATCCAACGTGGCAGTGGGAGCAGTTTTGGCTCAGAAGAAGGAAGACAAGAAGGTTCACCCGATACAATACGCCAGCAGGACGATGACGGAGACTGAGAAGAAGTACTCCACCTGTAAGAGAGAAGCATTAGCGGTGATCTTTGCGCTAAAGAAATTTCGGGTGTATTTGCTCTCAACGCAAAAGTTGAAGTTGATTTCGGATCACCAAGCGCTTCAGTATGGGTTCAAAAAGAAGGACATCCACGGTAGACTTGCCCGTTGGTTGGATTTCCTAGCGGAGTACGAATTCGAGATATTTTACCGCCCGGCTGAAAGAATTGTGCCGCTGACTTTCTCTCGCGTCTACGAGAAGACGATGACAGGCGCGAGGAGGATGAGGGGGACCTGGTATGTGCTGCCGCTTTTGCGAAAGGAGATATTCTGGAAGCCATGGAACCTCATGTGCGGGACACGTACCGTTATCTCGAAGACGAAGAGATGGTCGAGCAAGATGCTGCGCAGAGGCGCAGAATCAAGAAGAACTCCAGGCGGTTCCTCGCCTGGAACGGAAGGCTGTTTCGCAGGACGAAGAATGGGATCAGAACAATCCCTTCTCGGGGGACTCGACTGAAGATATTGCGGTCGCTGCATGACGACATTGGCCACTGGGACGCTACAGCTACGAAGCAGTTCGTCCTTGAGAGGTACTGGTGGCCGGAAGTTCATGGTGATATCTACGCCTACATTCGTGGATGTGAAGGCTGCCAAAAGGCTGCGCCCATCCCGACGTACAAGAGCACGGCGGTGATACCAGTCCCTCAGATCTTTGAGACATTCTCGATAGACTTTGCGGGACCCCTTCCCAAGACGAAGAACGGAAAACGTTACATCCTGATAGCGGTCGAACATCTGACTGGTTGGCCGTTAGCTTGGGCAACCGAGACCGCTACGTCTGCGGAAGTTGTCAAGTTCGTGAAGGAGGAGATCATCCATTCGTTTGGTCCCCCTCGGACTATAGTCTCAGATACCGCAACATGTTTCAGCGCGACAGCGTTGAAGAACTTCATGGCACAACAGGGAATTTCATGGAAACCGGTTCTCGCCTATGCTCCGATGTCCAACGGAAAAACGGAGCGTATGGTTAGTCCCATCAAGCGTTCAATTCGGAAGACGCTATTAGGTCAGGGTGCCGCTACCTCTAAATGGGAATCAGCGTTGAAACAGATTCTCTACCGGTACCGTCGGCGTTGACTGTCCGACGGGTTCTCCCCGTTCGAGATGATTTATGGAGTGAAGCCGCCCTCGTAACCCCAGACCGAGTCGAACCAAATCCGGTGGGGGGCGTTGAGGGGCGCAACTTGAAACTGTTAGCGACCCTCGCGCTCCGAGCGACGAGAACTGCTAAACAGTTGGACAGAAAGAGCAAGAAGATGGCAGTTCTCTCACAACGCCAATTTGACGTAGGCGACCAGGTTCTGGTTGCCCGAGGAACAGCCTTGGGAGGGCTACGGAAGTGGCCTTTAGGAGAATTGAAGTACTACGGCCCCTGCCGGTAGTACGGGCAAAAGCACCCGCGGTACACACTAGTGTCGCCTGGTTTACGCTACAGTCGACGGGATATCCACGCAAGGCGTTTAATCCCCTTTATTCAGAAACCCGCACATCTTATGTAGATGTGATGCATGTGGAAATTGCCCCATGGACTGGTGCGGGGATAACTACGAGGAGTAGGAGGACAGAGACGATGTAGTTGAGAAACTTCGCTGGGATTGGACTCTCTGCGCCTTTTAAAGTCTGTCAGAAGAGTTGTTGAGGGTTGCAGAAAGAGTCAAAATGAGACATCAACGGGAGTCAAGGTTGTCCGACGGAGGGGGGAAATGTGAATTCTAGCGGAATGAGGAAAGAGGAGGCCGTTCGATCAAGAAACGTCGATGCTATAGGAGTTACTGTAACGCAAGGGGTGGCATTGTGAGCTGTGAAGGTGGCGGAATGGTCGGAACGACTACAGGAGACGTCTACAGGCAGGATGCGTCGGTGTATATGTGGCTGTGAGACACTGGAACTACGGCAGCGTATGATTCAAATGGATTAGTGCATAATTCATGCGTAAGTTGGTGAATCTCTGACCGCATGCAGCCTTGTATGTGAGCCACAGGTCGTAGGCTTGATCAGTTGATGCGATCGTCACGTAAATGACGAGTTTGTCGAGCCAAAGGGTGATGAAAGCATGCACAACTTGTTTCTCGATCTGGTTCTGGAAAGCTTTCACTGGAAGTCAGGCCCGGGAGTAGCCGTTGAGGATGGTAAGTCGTCTTGGTCCACGAAAACTGACGTAATACACTCGAGGTTACAGTTTGCCAGATAGAGTAAGACGGTGCTTGCTCATTTCTCCGCGACGAAACGAACGTGGCCGAAGGCTCAGGAGGCGCGGAAACCACGCGGCCTGAAGCAAAGGCGACGCGAGACGAACGCAGGCGGCCTCGCTACCAAGCGCAAGATGTTAGACCTTCCCGCCAGTGGAAGCCCTCGCCGTCTGCCTGGTCCGAGCCATGTCGCACAGAGAGTACCGCCCGAAGGACCACAGACCTCTCGTGCGTGGCTCGCAACGTGGCGCGTTTCAAAGAAGTCCCGGAACGGGAACAACCAGAAACGGAGGCTCAGGCGACGCGGAGACCACGCGGCCTGAGGCTCAGACAGCGTTGAACGATTAGCGGCCGGAGGCCCGGGAGACGCCGAGACCACGCGACCCGGGGCTACGGTGACGCTAAACGTGAAAATCCACAAGTTCAGGCGACGCGGGGACCACACCGCCCGAAGTTGAGGCTGAAGTGCGGGAGGCGGCGCGAGAAAGAAGCGGTGCGAGCGTAGTCTGTGCAAGACGGCGGTGGAGCGGATGAAGTAATGTGCAGCGAAGACCGCGTAGAGAAAGGCGGTTCGGTGGAAAAGTGGAGAGACGATGGCAGGGGGGGCCAGAGCGGTCACGCGAGGGAGCGGGGCCAGTATATTTACGTGCAACGGCAGCCGCGTGGGCTGCCCTGGCGAGGGGGTCATGTGAGATATTTTAAGGGAAAAATTGCATTCTACTGTAGAGGGAGATTTTATTCTGTAGTCCGAGATTTTATTTGAATTTTAGAGAAGCGCACGCGGACGGCCCGGCGGAATCCGGGCCGGACGCGTGGACGCTTCTGGAAGGAATTACGTTGAAATAAAAGAGAGGGGGTGATGGGCGCTGCGGGGAAAAGGTGGGCCACGACTCGGCCGACCCTCACGACGGAACGGCACGCTCCCCAAACCGCCTCCCCCATTTCACCAACAACAGTGGTCTCGCACGGGGCAGCACTAATGGGTTGGGTCCCCTATACCGCGAAGTCATGTCAACGTGACGTCACAGCATACAGAACGCAAATAAATACACCTATCGTCGAAAGGGTTTTCAAGCAACGCAGGCCGAAATCATAAAAAAGCACACTGTATGATATCGCAAAACACACGGCGGGACCGATTCCGGGCTCGGATTGGCTCTACAATAAAAGCATGGACCGCAATCTTAGAAAACCTTTGCGAAACGCAAATAAATACGCGAAACGCCATAGAGTACAGTATCAAAAAGTGCGGGCAATTGGCGCGTACTCTTCTTTTGAAAACAATAAAGGATATAGTTCTGTAGCCGTCGGCCTGAGCATCGTTCTACATCACTGCGAGCGAGCAGTTAGCATTCATAATGCCAAGAGGACCGCCACTTAGCGACATCGAGAAGGGCCAGATCCTGGCCTTGCACTATCAACTAACGTCCTTACGGGATATATCTAAGGAGTTGGGAAGATCCGTAGGAGCCATACAGCGCTTTTTAAAGAATCCGAGTCGTACCTCTCGTGCTCGTGCGCATGTAACTGGTGAAAAGCTCACCGTTCGCCAAGAGAAAGCCATGATCCGAAAGGCATCCACAGGAAACTTTTCAGCTCAAGATCTAAAGGACCTCGGACTACCTGTAGGAGCGCGCAGAATTCAACAAAATTTAAGCGCAACTCCACACCTGAAGTATACAAAAATGACAACCGCACCCATGATGACTGCTCTACACCGCGAAAATAGAGTGAAATGGGTACGTCGCATTATTGGCAAAGGAGATCATTTTTGGAACAAGGTAATTTTTAGTGACGAAAAGAAGTTCAACCTCGACGGCCCTGACGTAAACGCATGCTATTGGCATGATCTACGGAAAGATGAAAGGTTTTTTTCAAAAAGACAAAATGGAGGAGCATCAGTCATGGTTTGGGGAGGTATTTCCCCGTACGGGGTGTCCCCGATGGTCTTTTTAAATGGAAATCAAGACTCTCGCAAGTACTGTGCAACACTCGACCAAGCTTTACTTCCCTTCGCAGCGGAGATGTATGGCGAAATGGCAATTGGGTTTACCAGCAAGATAGGCCTCTATCCATAGGTCTACATATACGCGCTCATGGCTAGCTCAGAAGGGTGTAAGGACTATAGATTGGCCGGCAAAGTCGCCTGATCTCAATATAAAAGAGAACATTTGGGGCATCATGGCGCGCCGCGTTTATCTTCGTCAAAGGCAGTTCGATACTGTAGACCAACTTATAGGGCTTCCCCATACTGGTTTGTCTGAAAAAAACTTCCTTTGAAAACACTTGCTGCATGTCTATTGGTGCCCTGCAATGTTAATATTAACATCAGAGATGCCTTCTAATGGGTATTCTCGCCCTCATAATTTTGCTTAGGTTTCAAGGCCCGCTAGGGCAATCGTAAATTTTGTGTTGAAACCCCGCTCCGTTGTTGTACACAGCCTCTGCACAACTTTCAGTTGCCCGTGCGAACGAGGACACTTCGGTCTCTACACCTTTCACTGCCGTCAATATTCGTGTCCATACGACTCTCCCGCGTTTGTATTTTGACCACTCTCTCGCGTTTGGACATTAGCACTTCTCAAAACCCAATTCTCTTCCTTTCCCCCAAGTTTTGCTACCCAACTACACGCATCCTTGTTCATCGTACAGGCCTTCCCTCTTCTTCTAATAGCTTCCATCTCATCTTTGTCTCTTCTCCCTACATTCTGCAACTTCTCCCACATTCTACAACTCCATTTCACGCGCTTTTGGTCACCTAATACGCTACTTTTCTTCGTCTCAGGGCTTCAAGCTCTATTTGTCCCTTTTCGTCAATATTTGAGGTCGCGACGAATATCTGGCACCGCGGGTCGAATGTTAAAGCAGATCATCTACAAGAAAAATCAACAGCGCATCGTGATATCAGGAGCTTTTGGTTTACCCACTACCAGAAACTTGGGGCGCCGTTTTCGTTTTCGCAGGACACAAAAAGTGTCAGGGTCCCGCTACATCCTTGAAAAATATTTTGAAGCACTTTCCAAGATGAGCAATAATGCTTCGCGCGCCTCAGCGCCCGAACAAACACCGACAAAACTGTTGCGAAAAAATATTTGGATGATGGACATTGGTTCGGTGTCCAAAGAAAAGCAACTGCCTGTCGAGGGTACGGATCCTTTGTTGGAACAAGACGAGCAAGGAGAAAGCGCCGGCACTGCAACTAAAATTGCGCACAATATAGCTGGTGGTGAAACATCGAGTCAAACGGATGACGGGTTTTTACTTTTGTTTAATTTCTTCCACAACATGAAAGGTGAAAGCCTTAAGAAGATTTGTGCGGAATGTGGTATTCGCAGGTCAGGGGCGAAAGGAGATGTCGTTCAAGGCTAACAGCCCACGTAAACCAGAATTGCAGTAGCAGCACCAAAGAAGCCTACGCTTCTTTTCTGAAAAACTCTGCGCACTGTTCTGAATTTATCCATTTCGATAGGGGAAATGCCAAGAAATGGAACAATAATGCGAGTTTGGCATTGGATCAGCTTGAAACTCAAGCTGCAATCCGAGCGTCTCGGCATCCTTCGAGAACAGGCACGAACGGAAAAAGGGATGGAGATGGATCTGTGCGCGTTTTGACTCTAAACGAGGCTGCACGACTATTTTTATTGCTTCGTGAGCCAACGGGGAGGGAGGCTCTTCGTCGAACAAGAAGAGGCCTTACAGCTTCTGAGCTGGACGCTGGAATGACGCGATTCTCTTCCTGGACGGAAGTCATTGCGAGGAGGTTTAATGACAGTGATTTCAACCCGATTCAGGCCTTTGAAGGTCACGGATATCTGGAGGAGATAGATCCGTCGCTACCCCCATCCCGAATGCACAACGGCGGATCTTTGCGAACAGAATTCCAGAAGCTGCGTCCCAAGTACACTGCAGCACATCAAAACTGGTCTAAATCAGGTTAGTTGGAGACCAATATTTTATTGAGTTTGTCTACAACGAGAAAGGACTTATCAATACAACATCGAAGAAGTTGCTTATAATCCATGAGGTCCTTTGCTGTGGAACCAGTGCCATGGACGACGACCTTTTTGATATGATATCCAAGACTTTTGACGACGACATGGCGGCATCAGAGGGTGGACTGGAGGAGGTGGACAGGGTCATGTCACTGACGGGAAGTCTGGCATCGCCAGCACTTCCCAGCACGGTTGGTTCAAAAAGAAAGCGAGCTGACAACCAAGAGGTCCTTATGAGAGAGCAGCTCGCCTTGCAGAAGCAGGGGGTGGAGCAGCAGACATTGCTGGCGACGGGACTGACGGGTCTCGCGAAAACAATACAGTCGTCGATTGTTGGACAAATGCACCCCCAGTCTACGCTTAACGTTCGAGAGAACGAGGATGCACTTGCCCTCTTTGATCAGATGCGGAAAGCCAGACAGAACGTTCGGGATGCACGGGAATGCGGTGACCGTGATATGGAGCGTAGGGCACTACGCATACTCCACAAAGTAGAAACCGATTTGGACAGGCTTGACCACGACGAAGGCGAAACGGAATGAGCAGATCCCGTCTCGGCTCAAATTTGCAAACGCTACAAGGGCTAGAGAAGTACTATTGCAAACAGCTGCGTAACTGAGTAAAATGGTTCTTGACTGTGCCTTCAGCACGAAAAGTTGCGAATGCAAGCTTCATGGGCTCTTGGCCACCCCTTTCATACAAAAACCGTGATCCTCATCCGCCCCTCCGATTTAGGCCGCCATTCTTTACGCGGGCCCTTCCTCTTCCACTACCAGGATAACCCCAGCTACTGTGAGGTCGGTTCTGGTTAGTTCTCTGGTCGCAGGTTGGTGTGAGGTCGATTGTGTTCCCTGTGGAGAACTCGCAATTCCCTCAAGCGCTCCTTTGCCAAGTGGGCGATTATGGATTCAACGTTGGCGTCACGAATATCCGAGAAGAGGCTACGCAGAGACACAGGTTTCCTGCGTTCAGCAACCAGCCACGTCTCGGAAGATGATACCTGCCAGACCCCAATGTATCTAATGACTTGAGGGATTTTGACAGTTTCGGATATGGCCTTTACGGCACGATGCAAGGCGTTTGTAGAATTCTGACCAATTGACAACATGCGGATTGAAGCAGTGGGAGCCCCAATTCTCGCAATGAATTCCTCCGCAACCGATGCAGAGATGAGGGTGCCGAACTCATTGTCATCAGCGATTAGCCCACCAGGAATAAAGACTTGCATCAGGTTGGGAGCCAGTTGCGGGCTTGGTGGTAAAACGCGTCCTTTTTCATGGCCGTGCGATTCCATGCGGATAAGAGGGTGAGAGCATGGAGAGCAACCAGTCCTTCGGCGAGCACAGAGCTACATGTGCAGCAAGAGATGGAGGGCAGCTGCTCGGTGGCGAACCTCAAAGAAAAATGATGCGGGTTACAGCTGTACTTCTTCGCAGCTTCAAAAATATCCGAAAAAGTGCGCACAGTGGACCGGGCAGCTGCAAGAATTTTTCGATTGTGCTCTTTCTCCGCCCTTGCCTTGGTATATCTGTGCCCCGAGCTGGGTTCTTGGAGCATTGTAATCACGAACCCACATGCGATGATGAAAGAAAAGAATAGTTATACGCTTTCCACGACGCAAATGCAAATTCATGTTAGGAATCTTCAAGATTTGTTAAGAGTGCTCTTCCCCTTTTTCCGTTCTGTCTTTCTCTTCACCTTGAGTACCAGAGCTCACATCTCGTTGGTGCTGGCCTTCTTCTTGGGCTCGTTCCTTGGTCACTAAATGTGCGTTCCATGGATCGACATCCGCAATGCGTTCTTTGACTATGTCGACATATTATATCCAGCTTTTCCATTTCTGAGCTCCCTCTTCGAATCGTCGCGTGCTTTCGAACAAGAACGTCGACACACTTTACCACTCCGCACAGGTAGGCCAATTCCTTCTCCTTGAAGTGCTACCTTGATATTTCTCTTACTGCCTCAATACAGGCACCAATCGTCTCATCCAAACGAATTCGCACTTCAGCGATTGCCTCGTCGTCTACAGCACATCGATTGCTGGTGTCAAGGTGTAGTGCAAGTAGCGCATCGAGCAAAGATCGCATGTACGAATCCATTAGCAAAAGAGCCCCCCGCGGGAGATGCTTTGCATGAGGCCCAACAGCGACGAGAATCTTCTGAATTGGTTCTACCTCCCGCACATACCTCAACCTCCGAAGTCCATGCCGTTCGCAATCACGAGCGGAGCGAAATGGGGCCTCCTGCTGTTCGTGGATTTCAAGAAGCATGTGGAGCCATGACACGGAAATGGTAGTCGATGGCATTGGACGGGGCACGAGCGGTATTTCGATTCCCCCTCTGCCGGCAAGCCGCTCACATCCTCCAACCACTACGGCTCCATTCTCCCTCCCCACCATCGGTCGTTTGTAAAGCGTCACAACCCCCGAACCTGAAACAGAAGCGTGGACTTTGGCAAAATCAGAGAAAAGAGAATCCATAGGGTAAAAGTCTTCATAAAGTTTGTATATATCAAAGAGGCAAGTTCAGCTTCTGACCGATTGAAGATCGACCGATCGTCTCTGCTTCTCTTTTCCTCTCCATCTGCAATATCCATGAAAACGTATCACGATGATACGGGCGTGCCCTGTTCTCACCTTGCAAACTTTCATCGTCAACTAGTCGACCGTGATAGAAATAGCGCCTAGAAAACGACGACATGTCTGGATGCATTCTGTACTGCGTGTCTAGCATATGTGCATTCTGGCCCCCCTTACATACTCGTTCTCGTTGTGATTGACCATATGCAAGCCCAGCGGCGCCTGACGATAAAACAGTGGCAGGAAGCTGTTGAGGGTCTCCGGCAAGTACGCATCGTTTAGCACCCAAGGCCATTGGAATTAGACACGAAGGTTCAGTTGCTTGTGCGCCTTCATCTATGACAACAGTATCGAACAGAGCTCCTTCAGCGCTCGTAACATCACTGACGGCTTTCTTGGTCTTAATGCTTCATGCAGCACCCGACAGCGTTGAAAATACAAATTGCGCATCTTCAACATATGTTCGTGCAATCTGTCCTAACTTTTCCTCCCATTTGAGACCTTTCGCTCCATCTGCTTCGCGAAGAGACGGATCTCCTTCTTGCACCTTTCAGTGTGGACGAGAAGAATTTGCCATGATCTAGAACGCGTACAACAACCCGCATGAGAGGCTTCCATCTCCCAGCTAGAAAGCAAGAACTTTCACGCCGAAGTATGCACCGCTACGCTTTGGCGCAGTCTAAGCAGGGGAAGTAAAGTGCCTTTACGCCTCTAAACCGGAGGCCTCCTTATGCCCTTATCTCTAACAACCCGTAGTAAGCTCTCGCGTTTTTTTGATCTGCTTGTCGCGGACCGATGTAAATCGCTGTCTTCACTTTTTGTGCAAGCACATTCGCTTCCTCTCCGTGCCAATACAAACGGTGCCACCGGACTGTGTCCCGGTACACAGTTCTAAATTCGTCGCGTCGCAGCCATCCTTGCAGAGAGTCGCCATACGAGCGATTATCGATGCAAAAATTATGCAAAAGCATACATACCCGAACACATTTGACCGACTTTCGGACGTTGAACTGCAGAGGCGTCTGCAGAATGAGCCACTTTGCATGTAGAATCCCAAAGGCTTGCTCAACATGATTACGGAGCTGTGAAAGTACGTAGTTAAACGCGCTCTCTTCTTCCCCACACTCGGCTTTCGGATAGTTGGTGATCAAAAATTCCGCGCACTTGTATGCCTCATCCCCGACGATCCAGAACTCGGATATCAAGTTCTGGTTTGCCTCAATGTAGTGCCAGAGTTTTGACGCCTGGTATGCAACGGAGTCATGCGTTGATTCAGGGAACAGGCATGAGAAAAACATAAATCTGTACCTTGAATCCACCAGAGCTTGAACATTCACAGCGTAGAACCCCTTGCGGCAAAAAAATTCAGCATCAGGAATCTCTTTTGGCTTTCGTATCTTAATTGCGATTCCATCGATGGCGCCAATGCAACCGTTAAGGGGATTTGGTCTCCGTCTAGAGAGTTTGTACTGCATAGCATAGTGATGCAGCTCACTTCTCGATGATGGAAATTTGGGAAAGGACAACACTCTCGAAAACATTTCCAGGCCTTCGTCCAATATCAGGTCTACGGTGCTTCTTTTTACACGGAAAAAGCCAACCAGGTCCCATGGTTTCCCACCTGCTAGTAAACGAAGACAAATTGCGAGCCTTATCTCTACAGAGATCGTTATGCGGCGCGAACGAATGCCTGCTGAGATGTCCTTCTGCCAAAAGGGCCTCACTTTTTCTGTAAGTTTCTCAAAGGCAGTCTTGGACATTCGAAACGCGGCCATAAAGTCCCGATCGCTGAAAAAATTCATGACGGAGTCAAAGGTTATTCTGGAACGAATAGGATGGATCGGGACCTTATGTACCCTTTTTCCACGCTTACGGATGAGCAAAGGGGGAACGAAATTGATAGATGCAATTGCAAAACAGAAAGCAATAATAGAGAAAGCGTAAAGTTGTATTATCGATTTTTCCATGCACTTTTCGCCATCGCGATACATGGACAGTAGATGTGGGCACGTGTGTGTGATTTCGAGTACCCTAAGGGTCCAGTTAACGACGCCTTGAACGGTGGAACAGAGTACGACGAATTTGAGGAGGGAGTGACGTCTGTGCGGTACGGAACGGTGGCATGAGCGGGAGAGCCGCAAACAGTTGGTTGAGCCATGAAGTGCAGTGGCTCACCCGACTGACTTCTGTCGTCACTGAGGCTACTTGTAAGCCAAGCAGCGGTTTGGGGTACGTAGCCTTTTTCAGATAAGAGGAAGCAACTGCTACGGGGGTACAGTCCGTTTTCATAGAAAAGAAGGAGTGGTAAACAAGCAATGTATCGTCTCTCTACGCCCACAAGGTCTGAAAGAGTTCTACGTTGTGCTCTTGAAAGGGCTTCGGACGATCTCAAGTCACGTGCAGTTGCCAGTGAATCTTCCAATTCATTGAAGAGTTTAATATGATCGGCCAATAAAAACGAGTATGATGGCAGTACCAATTTTTCCTGCTCACAATTGGTGCAGTATAGAGAGGCCCTTAAGGAGGTCATTGACGAGGTATGGGCGACAATTAGTGGAGAACTCCTACAGAGCCTTTATCGTAGCATACCTCGCCGTATGCTTGCAGTGCTGGATGGACAAGGGCGTGCGACAAAGTACTAAAATAAAGACTTTTTTGGTACTGTACTCTATGGCGTTTCGCGTATTTATTTGCGTTTCGCAAAGGTTTTTAAAGATTGCGGTCCATGCTTTTATTGTAGAGCAAATCCGAGCCCGGAATCGGTCCCGCCGTGTGTTTTGCGATATCATACAGTGTGCTTTTTTATGTTTTCGGCCTGTGTTGCTGGAAAACCCTTTCGACGATGGGTGTATTTATTTGCGTTTCGCACACTGTAGATCTTCATTGGTTCGTCACAGAAGTGCTTCGGGCTTACACGTGTTTCTTACACGTATGAAGCCGTGTGAAGAATATTTGAGCCATGCCCAATTACTGTACACACGGTCTGCCAAGTTTTTCATATTAAGGCTCGTTTCAGCACAGCAACGCTTGTTGCAATCTCCTGTTTCGCCGGCGGTCTGGTTGTCGTAAAGAAAGTTGTCGTTTTGACACCCGGACAAAGCAGTTTTCAGTTTCCCGGCTGCATACCCTCACTATTCCACTTTCCTTTTCTCCCTTCCCGTTTTTCAAGGATGACGGAATGTCAAATTATTGATGCTCAAGGTCGTTTCGTGGGCGCGCTGACGAACGACGTTAGTGACGCATCCATCTCCTCTTATCTTGTCGTTTCCGTTGTGGGTTGTCAGTCCGGTGGAAAATCAACACTGCTCAATACCGCGTTTGGAACTTCTTTTCCTGTCCTGGATGCTCCGAAGTCTGGTCGCCGCCGGACAACTCTTGGCGTATGGGGGGCGGTCGCAGAATGTACACCGCCAGTAGTTGTTCTAGATGTGGAAGGAACGGATTCAAGGGAACGTGGCGAAGGTGCTGTTGCGTTCCAGGCTCGTACTGCAATGCTTGCATTAGCTCTTTCTGACGTCGTCCTCGTCAACATGTGGGCTCACGACGTCGGACGACATTCAGCAGCAAATTATGACCTTTTCGAAACAGTATTTGCCCACGCCGCCAGTTTACGAAGAAGAGACTCCCCCGTGCGACTTGTTGTTGTCGTAAGGGATTGCGAGCCTGATGCACCTGTTCACGACATTTCCCGCGTCCTCACTGGAGATCTCAGAAACATCTGGGCTAGTTTGAAGAAGCCCGACAAGCTGTTTAATCAGCTTTTCAGCCTTCGCGTTCTCGCTATGCCTCACAAGAAATATGCGCCAGAAAGGTTTTCCTCAGAGGTCAAGGAAATGGGAAAGAGCATTATTAGTAGCGGGGAGCAACAATTTCGGCAGCCTGTGCCACTCACTGGGTTTGATACGTTCTCAAGGGAGGTGTGGTTTTCTATTTGCCACAAGACTGGAGGTGACGGGCCAGATGCGGCGTTCACTTTGGACTTGCCCAGGCATGTGGCACTGACGGCTCACTACAAATGCGGAGAAGTCCTTACTGGCGTATTTAATGGACCCGTCGGTGTTCGTCTTGAAGAGCTTTTGGCAGAAATTGAATTGAATTGGAACAAACCAATTCCAGATTTTGGGAGCAGGATAGATGACATTGCGCGTGATGCTTTTTTGCAATACGATACCGAGACACGAGCATACCAAGGAGCGAAGCTGGCAGGAGACGCTTTGAGACAAAGACGGCGGGAACTGGGTGCAAAGTTGGTCGGAATTCTGATGGAGCGCCGAGAGAGATATTTGTGGGTTTGCCGGGAGTTTTGCCGAAAGAATTTTGAGGACGAGTTCAGGCCGATGCTTGGCGGCACAAATGGCTTTGAGAGAAATGCAAAGCGATTAGGCAATTCTTTTGTGAAGAGATATCGGCACTTGCTTGTAGGCTCGCGCCTTCCATCATCTTTAGACGAATTCATCCTCGCGAACGAAGCGGAAAGGAAGAAAGAGGAAATTGCTTCGGACGGTGACACTACGGGAGAAGAGTCGGCTGGTATCCAAATTCTTGATACCGAACAGGCTTTTCAGGAACTTTCTGACAACAGCGACGACGAAGGAGATGACGACGAATACTCCGTTGAAGCATTCAAGAAGGATCTCTTCCGCATGGTAGAGGAAAGGCGAAGGCTCGGGGAGATCATGTTACCAGGGGGTAGTAATTTAGTTGCGGCTGGCCCCAAGCCCGAACCATGGTGGAAGGGACTCCTGATTAGAGGTGCCATCCTACTTATCAATTATTTGCAAGCTACACAGGGACAGCGGGCAGCGCTGAAGCTTCAACGCAAACACGAAAAAGAGTTTCCACCTGGTCCAACTTTTTAAAGCTCATGTCTGAAGGATCGGTGCGGATTTTTATTTGCTGACATATTCACGTGATGTGCATGGCGTTTGCTCTTATCGTGCCAGAATTTACACTGCAATCTAGCTGCTTGTGAAGAAACACCCTTTGATGGTAATGATGGGTAGAAAAGGACGAACTTTGCGCTCATCAACTTGATCGTTCTGGCCTGGCAGACCTTGTGTCTCCCTTGCTTCGGAAGAAACATCTCTCTCACGAAAAAGATATCTTACTCCAACAACTGCTCTGCTGAGATGTTTGTATTGGTTTGCTGCCCGTATACCCTGCACATAAATTAGTTAGTTCAATGAAGAGGTTCCTGTCGTCAGCAGCATTGGCCAAAATGTCACGATGACTCTGTAAACCGGAACCTCTTTGAGGGTCGCCTATTCGGCTTCAGCCCCTCTCCTACAAACCCAGGTACCTGATTTACGTCCTTCGCATGACGGGCGCTCGATTCTTTCGGCGACGATGATTGCTCTTCCTCCGATTGCGTCCCTTTCAATAACTCTAAACTCTGGTAACCTACGCTTTTTACATTCTGCAATGAGGTGGATACGTGGTTCTTCTTTTGAATCGCGCCACTCTTCTGTTCTTTTTCGTGTAGCTTTGCTCCCAGACCAAGTCGTGAAGGACGTGGTTTCGGTCTCCAGCTGTCCGATAAATCCTTCGAACCTTTTCCCTTCTTCTCAGTGTTCCCTCTCCACCCCATTGATCGCAACATTGCTGCTCCAAACCCATCCACAGGAGTACCCTGATATGTTTGAAGGGATACCTCTCTAGAGCATCTTTCGACATCATAACGGAAAAGGGCTTCATCTTTTGTTTCAACGGAATCAGAGACCTGCAGCTCACGCTCCGCATCCTTGCGTCGTTCCACAAGGCGTGCTATCTGCGATACTTTCACCTTTGGGCTGTCGGCCTTTTCTTCCATGACTTTGATTCTGCCCTTTTCTCCGTTAGTCTTGATGCCTTGGGCTGGGATTTGTTTCTGCTGGTCATGAGGACTATCGCCTACATGGGACACTGATTTTCCACGAGGCTTTTCGTCCCCAGAATCCTCATCACCGCTGAAACCATGCACAGCCTGTGGCTGTGCAACGCAGCGACTACCAAGCCCTCCCGCATGTGGCCTTCGTCTCCCACGTTTCAGGCCAATTGCAAAACTGCTCATGATGGGGGGGGGGGGAGGGTGACGGGGGGTTCATGCGCCAAGCCTGAAGTTGCAGTGCGGGGGATATGAGGAGTGGTGCAAGGCATGGCGGTGCCTTGGTTAATTTGGGCCAAAACCAACTTCAATAAATCAATTGGAAAACAGTGTCCCAAAATTCTATTGGCATTGGAAACGGTTCCAAAAACCATACACACGGCAGAACAGGTGAATACCTTTCGCGTGTTACTTAGATGTATCCCCCTCCTCGGAAAGTTCGACCAAAGATGGCGCTGCTTTGACGATGATGCATCTCGTAGGCTTCTTTTGAACAGATGTCAACATGGTTAAAGCCGCCCAAAGGCGACGATAGTGCCTAGTCGGGACGCTTAAGATGACTTCTCCAGGTAGCCCAGTCATAGAGATGAGCTCATAGCTTATGGCAGATGCACCCACCACTCCATAAAGAGATAGCAGCGCCGATTCTACGGCGGAGGGTAAGGCTCTCGACATATCGAAGCGGCATCCTGGCATCTCCACTTTTTCTGCTAAACTCTCAAATCGCAGCTTGAGGTACATCGTGATTGGGACAGTGGAAGTCACCATTGGGTGTGCAATGCCTCCCTACGCCTTTCAGGTGCACCTCTATTCTTCTCTGATATTAGCGCTAAAAAGCGTTCATGAAATATTGCAGCGAAGCAGCCTTGCAGCAAGTGCGAGCTGGAAAAAATGTTGAAATAGGTAACTTTGCTGTTTCTCTGTTGCCGTTTTGACGGCGTGGCTACTCTTCGAAGGGTAGTCAAAGAGTATTCGACGGTGGGATCCTTGTACCCTTGGTACTGTAACATAAACCCTGCCGAGAGACATGGGCTGCACTATTGAGTGGCTTCACTACAGTTCTTGCTGGGGTTACAGTACGACCTGTTTCAGGCCCATACGCATGTATCTGATTGTGGGCCGTTCGACAAAAACTTTTTGGACTGTACACAAGATCGAGCAATGCAGCTGGGCTTTCTTCAGGTAAATATACACGTGTGGTAGAATATGGTCCAATCTTTGTGACCCGTGTACGCGTGTGGTTTTGTACAAATAAAAATAGAATGCGGGTCCCCTCGAAACAAGTATGCATCCACTCTTCTCGAAAGACGCAAACGTCTTGTCCACCTCAAGTGTTTGCCTGGGCATTCGTCTTGCGACAACTATCTCTCTCCCGTGTGTGACTTGTTCAACCCAAAACTATCCAAAGCAGGGGAGCGAAGAAAAGGATTGAATGCGAACAAGCCCATCCGTAACTGGACGTCGCTGTGTCAAAGGGCACACGTGCTCATCGAGGGTTCACACGAGAAGCAAGGACAACGCATGAACGCAATATTCTTCGATGTGATTCACCAAACTTGCCAAACCTTGCAGCACTTTTGTTTTCCTTAACGGCACATCACCGATTTAACCCAGGACAGCTTCTTGTCGCAGTGTTGAAGTCGAAGTCCTCAGACGCTCAGCGCCCTTTTTTACTGAAGTCACCGTTCGTTCTGGTATGGCACCTTCCGCAACAGATCACCAGAAGTCTGAAAAGTCTGCAGATAAGCTTTCGAATGGCTGCTTGAAGGATGAGACGTCTGAAGCGTCATCCAGTCGAAAACACATCCTTGATCTGCCATATGATGTCCTCAGTCGAATTTTCTCGGGCTTTGACCCAGCTCCGGAGCTTTGCATGCTGATGGAAGTGTGCACGAAATTCACGCAAGTGGCGAAGAATCCCGTATTGTGGACAAGAGTTACAGCAGTGGACCCCATCACACGCCGCGCAAAGGAGCATGGGCTAGAGTCTGCCGCCAGGAGCATCGTCTATGGATCTGATAAGGCTTTATGTCCACCTTGTCCAACGAACACAACATCATCCACTGTTCAGAGAAAGCGTCGAGGAGCTGGACTTGCTGTTGATGTCATTACCTCTCGTGGGGGTACCAAGTTGACATCGCTGGATTTGAGCGACTGTTATCCGAACTTCCCACGATACGAGCATCAACTAACGGATGACGACTTGCAAGTAATCGCGGATCGCTGCTCCGAGTCACTTCAAGTGCTGCGCTTGAGCTCCTCCTCGTTTCTGACTGATTCTGCATTAGCTGATCTTGCACAGTCATGCCAACAGCTGCGCACTCTTCATTTAGTTGGTTTTCCAAACATTACAGGCACGGCACTTGGAAATATCACCGATGCATGCCCGACATTGGAAGATATATCTGTACGCCGCTGTTCGACTTTCAATGGCCGGACTATGCGGAAGAGGCTTATTCCTGTGCGGACCACATTAAGGCGAATAGACATCTCTGAAACTAATTCAACTTCTCTCAACATGAATGCCTTCATGACCAAATGTCCCGCGATCGAGGAGATAGATGCGAGCAAGTGCAAGCACCTCCAGATTCGCTTAAGATCTGATTCTTTACAAGAGACACCGGTTTCACCAAAAATCACGTCGCTCAACTTTGACAACATCCATGGAATAGACACAGAGCTCATAATGCTAATCTGGCAAATGTGCCAAAAACTGGAACACTTTTCTTGTAATGAGAGTAATATGGGGGGTGACTCAGACATGGAGGAGCTTTTCAGTTTAAACACTTGGCCGCCACTCAAGACTTTGAAAATGGCAGGACTAAAAGTGACAGATGAAATGTTTCAACGCATATTTAAGATGTTAGGGGAAACTCTTGTCGAGTGCGATCTGTCCGAAAACTGGGATTTGACTTGTAAGCTGCAACTTCTCGGAGATGAGACCTTCGCAGAGCTTAAGACGTTACGCGTCCGGTACACACAAACAACTCCGGACACGGTCAAAACGCTGATTTCGATTGCACCGAAGCTGAAGAACCTTGACCTCTCCGGATGCGTACGGATTGACCGACAAATGCGGAAAAATCCGCTTGCGTCAGAGCAAGTCACGTAGTTGCAGTCTGCTAAAACTGCAATAACATTTGCTCTACAAATCAATTGAAGGGTAATCATTCAAGAATATGTACACAGTTATCTATTGGCGAACCGCTCCGAGAAGTATCTCCGACAGTTTAGTGCCCTAAAAGCGACCAGGACCCGTTTCCCTACCACGAACCAAACCGTAAAACATATCGTGACAACCTTTTCATCGCCCTCTCTCGGGCTGCCCAATTCGATAGTACAATATCCTAGCTAACTGCACCGAGAGCGCGGGTTCCATCCACGCTCTTAGTTCCTAGGATAAGCATTCCGCATGCGGTCGTCCATCATCAACGTGTCAAGTGGTGGAACAAAGCAGCCTTACTGCGAGAATATTAATTCTTTCGTCCTTCCCGGACTGTGATGGCCCTTCCTCCAAGCTCCTTACCGTCCAGCTTGCTCACGGCCATCTGTACGGCCTCCTCGCTTTTGACGTCTGCAAATGCGAAGCCTTTAGAACGCCCTGTAGGGTCACGAATAATGGCCACTCGCGTAAACTCCACTACTTGTCCGACGACTCTTTCCAAATCCTCCTGTTCAGTATTGAATGGTAAATTGCCAATGAACAAGGAATGTGGGGAAAAGTTGCGCGAGTTACTTCTCCTTGCACCCTGACCCTCCCGAGGCCCATCACGACGATAGCCACCCCTCCTGTCTCCACCATCGTTACTCCTAGCGCGAAAGCGTTCCATCCTTAGCTGCTGCTGTTTCTCCATCAGCTCGTCTTTCTGGTCAACAGGATACTCCTTGAACTGATCTCCCTGCCTGAGAGTCATGAGCCTGTCAGCCCTCTGAAACCATTGATTGCCACAGACGGAGCAAGCGACCTTTTTCCCTCGAGGCCCTGGGAAATCCGGATCCAGCTTGTACGCGGCCTGGCACGACCCACACTTTGTGAAGTACGTAGCCGTCGGATCGGGAATGAAAGCAGGACGGGGGGCACCGCGATAATCGCCTGAAGGTCTAGGCCTTTCGCCCCGGTATATGTACGGTGTGGGTGCAGCTCGCTGCGGAGGTGCATTGGGTTGCGGACGTTGCGGCGGGGGCCGAGGGACGGGAATGCTGTCATTGGGAGGCGCCTCGTCGATCGCAGCCGAAACGTACACGCGGGCAGGTTGGCGTGATGGCGCCGGGCGCCGAGAGCATATTTGCGCGCCGCGAGTGCCCCGCCCGCTGAGAATTGGGGCACCGGGGGTGGGAAGGAAGGCCGTCATCACGGATGACATGAATCTGGTATGGCGCAGCTTGTGAGCGAGGGGAGGGGCGGGGAAGGGGTGAGTTGTGCGTGGTGGAGGCCGTGGGGAGGAAATGAGCGTGAATAGGTCGTGGTTAAGTCGGCGGCCAGTCAAGTGTCCGTGAACAGGTCGTGGTTAAGTCGGCGGCTAGTCAAGTGTCCATAGGAGTGTCGGAAGGGCGATCTCGATGTGATTGAGAGTTCTCCGCAAACTAAAGTGTGCTTATGAAAACTCATCTGGAAAACTCTCTACTAGGTTGTGATTTTGCCGCCCCGGACAAGCTTAATGCGTTAAATTTTCCAAGGTTGGACCATTTTGTGGTCATTTCCTCTCCTATCTTTCATACTGAAACATTATTATAATCATGTTAAAATTAAAATAATACGGCAACCCTGTCCCCGTTCCGCCTTCTCATCATACATACACGTGTACAGTAGGCAGGTGGAGCATACAGTATCCTCCTGCCCTCCACCGGTGAACTAAAATGATGTCAACAACGTGAACATCAACATTACAGTACGTAAATTTTTTTGCTGCATACTGTACTGTACCAAGGGTATCGCAAAACACATGGTTTCTTGTCTTGCAAGGGACAATACAGTAACTTTAAGTCAACTCAGCGTTCCTCGTTCTCCTTCAGTTACATCTCGAAGAGCAGCGTGCAGAGAATGAAATGCCCTGCACCCCTACTTTTCCCGTAAGACCTACGTTGATATAACATCCAGTTCGGACGTCCCCATAGAGGAAAACTCTGCTTTTGCTCATCCTAAACCGTTTCCCTAATAAAATTCACCTCCTACGCCTCAAATTACTCTTCAGGCTTCCGCTTTCAAGCAAATATGTATCTCGTTTCTGCTATGTCTACATACAGGTTCTACCAGAGCTAGTGGATTTCGCACTGACATGTGGGGCGAGTTCATTTTTGTCATAGGACATAATTTCTACGGACTCCAAGGCTAAGATAACCATGGGGCTGGCTAAATCCTTGTGACGAAGTAAGTCTCGTGCCTCCGGTCGTCCCGCGGCGGCGGGGCGGCCGACGGCGCGCTTTTATTCGGTCCTGGGGCTGCTACCTACCTCAAATGGTGTGGCCTAGTCTGTGGCTGGCTTGTGGGTCATCACCTGCTACAGGACCATCAGGGCGGTTGGGGTGCCATGCCCGTGAACCGCGCGTCGACGATCTTCATTTTGTGGGTCATCACAGTCCCCCTGACGCGCGGTTTGCGGGCCTATGACGGTGGGGGTGAGGTCAAACTGTACTTGGTGGCATGGGGGTTGGACGCGGAGGTTGGCATGGTGTTCGTTGAATGGCATTGGCTTCAGCGGTTTGGTCATGATGTCGGCGTACATGCGCCGGCTTGGTACGTGCTTGAGGGTGATTGCTTGGTAGTGGGTGAGGTCTTGGAGCAAGTGATATCGTATATCTATGCATTTGCGTCGTTTTGTGGGCGCTGTGTTTCGTGCTATGGTGATGGCTGCTGCGTTGTCCATGCACACCGTGTGTGGGTTGGTGTTGGCGGTACCCGAGTTCCGTTAGCAGGTTGCGGATCCATACCGTTATTTGGGCCGTCTCGGCTGCAGAGATGTATTCAGCCTCGCATGTGGACTGTGCTACGAGAGGCTGTTGTTGGGACAGCCAGTGCGCGGTTCCGCCGTACACTTGGGCGACTGCTCCTGAGATGGATTTGCGGGATGCTGTGTCGTTGGCGAAATCGGCGTCCGCATAGCTTATGAGGGCCGGTGCTATTGGGTTGCGTGGTAGTAGGATGCCATGTGTTGATGTTCCTAACAGATACCGGACTGTGCGCTTGAGGAAGTTCCAATGGCGTTGCGTGGGGCAGTGTGTTGCGCGTGCCAGTGCCGCTGTGGCATAGCTAATGTCTGGGCGGGTGCAGTCTGCTATGTATCGGATTTCGCCTAGTGCCTTCTTGTAGTGTTCGCTGATGGTGTTGTCCGGTGTTTCTGCAGGTCTGGGTGGGTCTATTGTTGTTCCATCGGCGTATGGGGTCGGGTGTGGTGCGGCGTCCTGCATGTTGATGTATTGCACGACATGTTGGATGTGTTGTCGCTGGCATAGGTGTATGCCTTCCGGGGTGTAGGATACGTTCCAGTTGAGGTATGACGTGGGTTTCCCGAGTCGTTTGACTTTGTACTTGGACTGTAGTACTTGGTGGAAGTCGTTGTTCAGGGCTTGTGTGCTGGCGTCTGCCAGAAAGTCGTCCATACTGACGGCTATGAGGATGACGTCGTTTTGCGTACGTTTGTAAAAGAGCGAGGGGTCGGATTTGGCTTGCTTGTAGCCGTGTTGTTTGAGGTGCGCGTGGAGTTTTGTTGTGTATGTGTGTGCGGCAGGTGGTGTTCCATAGACGTTTCCTTTCAGTTGCCCGGCTGCGGCCTCATGTTTGTATGAGCCGTCGAAACGCTTGGGTTGCCAGATATATACTGGGGTGTCGTGTTCGTATGCTTCGTGCAAATACGCTCCTGTGATATCGAAGTGTTCCAGGTGCATGGAGTGCTCGGCTGCGAGTGCGAAAACGATTCGTACTGTGGTCTTTTCCGCCATGAATGTGGCGACTTTGTGTGGGTCATAATGGATGTCTGGGAGCATGAGGTCGCCCCGGACGGAGCATCTAGCTTTGCGTTTGACGTTGGTGGGATCGGTTTCTATCGCTTTGTATCGGTACGTCATGGTCATCGGTATGATCTCATTTCGTGGCGGGAGTTGCGCGCTCACGTTCCAATCTATTGCTTGTGTGAGATCGAGTTGGTCCAGTTCGGCATTGTGTGCGGTGCCCCATTCGCGCGCGTCCGGGTATTTGTTTGCTTGTTGGCGAGTCCGGGGGGGAGTCGTGGTTGGGGTAATGGTTAGCGGGATGCTGCGCCGCTGTTGCTGTGCTGCGAATGCGGCGTTAGTGGTGCGCGTGGGGTCGGAGTGCTTGGTGTATGGGTGAAAGTTGTTGGTACGTACAGTTTGGTAGCTGCCCGTATTGAGGTTGAATACCTTGACGTGTGCGACGTCCATGCCGTACATGTCACGAGCGGTGTGGGCGCGCGTTTGCAGCTTATGCTTTGGCGTTTTGAGTATGGGGACAGAGCCAAGTTGGCCCAATATGAAGATTTTGTCGATGGCTGGAGGTGCACCATGCCAGAGTGTGTGTGGTATGTTTTGTACCACATGGTGGTAACTCATGTTGTATTTGAATACAGCGTCACGTACTGCGTCCTCCCAGTACGCTTGGGGAAGTTGGCTGTGGGTGAGGGCTGCACGGGCAGCGTTCATGATGGTGCGGTTGATTCTTTCTGCTAAGGAGTTTTCTTGGGGGGTGTAGGGTGTGGATGGTTTGAATCGGATGCCACGTTGTGCCAGGAACTGTTGCATATATTTGGATGTGTACTCACGCGCGTTGTCGGTAGTTACAGTGTGCGGGTATCGTCCGGTTGAGCTTGCGATTGATTCTATGGCTGTTGTGAGGTTGGCTGGTACTTGTGCTCGGTTGTTGAGGAATTCTACGACCAGGTATCCTGTGGCGGTGTCGAGCACCGTCATGAAGTATTTGTTCTTTTGCATTGACGGTGGGGAGAACGGTCCGCAGACGTCGGAGGAGAGGCTTTGTCCGACTGTTGTAGTGTGTACAGCGCGCTGGTGTGGGGCTGCTGCGGTTTTGCCGTCAATACAGCCCTCGCACGAGAGCTTGGGAGGGTTGTGTTGGAGTGCTTTGGGTAGGATGGGAAGCATGCCGTGCTTGGCCATTGTTGCTATGGATCGGGGACGAAGGTGTCCAAGCTTGAGGTGCCACTCGTGCATGGTTGTTGTGCGTTGGGTCTTGGCGGTGTTGTTGGTTCATGCGCTTGTTGTCGGATTTGTTGCGGTGTGCGTGGAGGGAGGTGCAGTTTGGTTGGTTTTGATGGTGGCGTGGTTTTGGGCGGTGTGGGGCGTCGGGGAGAAGGTGGTGGGAGTTGTTTGGTACGCGCTGGGGTTGGTGGAGGTGGGGGTTTATTGCACGTCTTGGTTGTTTTCTTGTAAGGTGTGCCTCGGGCTGCTAGCACACGTCCTATGGCCCGTTGGGGAGGAAGGTGCGGTGAGCGAGTGTTGAGGCGGTAGAAACCTTGATGAAATTTGGCTGTGAGGATCGCCGGGGCAGTGGCGTTGGGTCGTGCAGCGTTGCGTGGTCTTTGGTGAAGGTGATGTGGCCGTGGCGCGTTAGGTCGTGGACGGAGAGGAGGTTCTGGCGGAGTTTTGGAGCGCACACTGTGTTGGTGGTGACGTGCTTAGGTGTCGTTGAGATCGTCGTCTTTCCGTGGTAGGTGATCGGGCAGGGTTAGCCCGTAGCGGTGAGGGTTAGTTTGCCTGTTGTGGGTTTGAGGTTGGGTTGGGGTTTGGTGACGTGAGTTGGGTGCGCTGCGGAATCGAGGAGAAAATGTGTCTTACCGGAGGGGCTGGTGCCTGCCGTGTGTGTGGCTAGGGCATGTTCTAGCTGTGCTATGCGTTGGTGGAGGTCTTCTGTGTTGGGTGTGGTGGGGGTGGTGGTGTGGCCCCCTTGTTGCTGCATGTCGGTATCGTAGAGGTAGTTGGCTCCATACGGCTGTCTGCGTCTGCCTTGCAGTGTGTAGCACTGCTCAGTGTCGTGTGTGATGCTGCCATGATGGCTGCACCACTTGCCGGCCAAACCTTTGGGGCGAGGGTGGTTGCGGGGTGTCTATGGCTGGCGGGGGGCACGGCGTTGCTGTTGTTGGTATTGGTAGGGTGGGAGAGGCGTGTACTGTTTCTGCGGGGGCCGTTGGTACTGTTGTCGTTGCGTGTATTGGGGCAGCTGAGGTTGTTGGACTGGGGCAGGTTTGGGGAATGCGGGTTGCGGTGTACTGGTTTCTTGCTGCTTGTTCTGCATCAGCATGACCTGTCGTACATGGTTCGTGAATTTGCGGATGGAGGCGGGTGGGCTGCCGGCGAGCACGACAGCAACGAGTCCAAGGTCGGGGTGGTTGCTGATCCCTTGTATCATGTAGTTGACCGTGGTCCGTTCTTGGTCTATGTTGGGGTAATTGGCGTTGATCATCTTTTGACGGATTGAGATGTGGGTGTTGATAAACGTAGAAAAGTCAGTACCAGGAAGTAGTTTGTTACATCGTGCCTCGGCGTCGAGGACTTCGTGGTTTTCGATGTTGGCGTCGTGGATGTGCTCGCGGAGAAGTGTGCATATGTGGTGAGGAGATTCGCGGAGGATGGTTGGGGGTAAGAGGGCTACGATGGTGGAGGGCAGGCTGGGTATGATGAGCTTGCGGAGCTGATCGGCCTGTTTGTTGCGCGTTTGGGTGGTTGCTGGGTCGTTTGTGGGTGTGGGTTCGGATTCGAGGAGGTATGCTGCGTCGATCGTTCTCGCGTGCAGCAGAAGGGCGTCATACCAGTAGGTGTAGTTTGTGGTGGTGAGGTTAGGGAGCAGATTTTGTGGATTCATTGTGATGTGTTTTGTGATATGTTTGTTTTGAGTTGTGTCTTGGGGTTCGTGTTGATCGTTTTCGTGGAGTTTTGCTTGTTGTAGAAGGTATGTTGTGTATTCGTTGATGTCTTGATTGAGGGCGCGGCGTTCAGCGCGGCGTTGTCGTTGCGAAGAGAGATTGTGGGATGTGGTGGAGTGTTGAGGTGGACTGGAGGGTGGCAGTGGTTGCATAGGGGCCCATAACCTGTGACGAAGTAAGGGCCTCCTTTAAGACAGCATGGACAGCCATGTTTGGATGTATATGTTTGCGATTTTCAAAATATTACATGTCCAATAATTTGGTGTATTGTGTCAGCGCGCCGTGATCCGTAAATTGGCTCAAGGGGTGCATCATACCGGGCTATCGATAGGGAAGCGAACGGTCTTTCTGAGCAGTGATGCAAGGAAGTGGCCGCAAAAAAGACGCAAATCTCATTATCTTACAGTGCCTGGTTCGATATAGTGCCTTTTTCGGCCCACTGACAGAGGGAGGCACTATATCGCGATCCCGTGTACTGGCATTCAGGGACGTCAATAAAATGATTAAATTGAATTTTAATGTATGCTAAATTGGATCAAGATTGAATTCAATCGCACTTATGCGGTAGGCGACAGCCAATGGTGTGCTCTCGTATGGCACGTTGGTAGCGACAGATTCCATTATATTAACTTTGTGTGCGCCATCATACTGTTAAGAAAAGTATTAAATGGACCAATCAGGTGCACGCTGACGTCCATACATGTCCAAACATGCCCGTCCATGCTGTCTTAAAGGAGGCCCTAAGTCTCGTGCCTCCGGTTGTCCCGCGGCGGCGGGGCGGCCGACGGCGCGTTTTTATTTGGTCCTGGGGCTTCTACCTACCTCAAATGGTGTGGCCTAGTCTGTGGCTGGCTTGTGGGTCATCACAATCCTAATAGCTCTGCATGAATAGGACCAAAGCTTCAAGAAAATAATGTGGTAGGCGCAGTGCGCAATATAGATTGTGATAGAAGACACGTACCGTACAGCACTGCCCTTCATTCAAGCACGATGTCATACACGCACCCGCACCCACTGCATGGTCCACCGTGAGCGTAGGAAATCCCCCTTCGCGACCCCGAAAGAGCGACTGGGAAAGTGCGTGTGCTTTTTTTTTATCAAGGCCACGGTCTTTTGTTGCAATTTCGACAAAAACCTGCAGTTATCCACAGGGCTCTCGCTCTCGTTGCTCACATGCAGCATTTGAACTGTCCTGATACATTTGTAAATCCAAGTCTCTGGCCGTTTACAGATTTCCGAAGCGCATCTCTACTGCTTCCCCCCTTTGGTGGACGCCTGTTCTTTAAAAGAGAACGGGGTACGTCTGAGTGCACGCTCTACCCATCGACACCCAGACAAGTCAAGAGACTTGAGTCTTGGCGCCAGATTGATCAAAGATTCTAAGTTTTCGCTTGTAATTCTTGTACCTCGCAAGCTGAGACACTCTAGAACAGAAAAGTTACCATCTCTTACTACTAGTGCACCACTCAAAGACTTGTTCCTGGACAGGTCACATTGGATGAGGCTCTTTCCGAGTTTTTCATAGATCATTTGCCACATTGGATCCGTGATATCTTGACCTGCCAACCCCAAATACTTCAGTGGCGGCAATTCTACGTCAAGAATTTCCTCGATGCGATATATTTTGGAACGTAACATATTGAGCGATAGGAAGCGAAGGTTTTTGCTCGTCATGCAAGTCAGCTTAAGCCACGTTTGGGCAACAAAATCGGTTCTATCCAAATTAAGATAGGCAAGGTTTGGGAACGATGATGACGGGTCCGATCTCCTGTACTCTTCCTGCAACATGTGACAGTCGCCTGCATTTATCACTTCTAGGGCTGGGTATCCTTTCATAAATTTTGCCATCTGCAAGTTTAGAACTCCTGTAACGGATATGTCGAGGCGTTTCAGCTTCTTCTGAACAGGTCTTAGCTTGTCATGCAATTTCCTCCCGCGAATCTGCCAGCAGCGGCTTACTGATATGTCTTCTAATGTGGGACAAACGAGAACGATTTCGCCCAGTTTTCTGTCGGTCATGTACTCACATCTAGTCATGTGAAGGGCAACTAAATTGGGACATGACTTTGCAAACGAAAGCAGCCCGGAAGCAGTGATGAAATAGGATGGACTTATGCGCAGGCTCTGCAGCGACCCGGCAGACCTCTCGGCAATGAGATCGAGATCACCATCCGTCATAAGGACGTCACTGTTCGGGTGGTCTGGATAGCACCCCCCCAGGTCAAGTGACACGAGGCAAGAACGCGCCCTCGATGTTATAAAATCAACGACAAAGCTGACGCTCTTCCGGTTCTGACGTGATTTACGGGATGCTGATGTAGTTTGAGCGTGCTTGTTAGTGTTGTCTGAATCATAGTCAATGACTTTGCATGCGCTCTCGTACTCTACTTCATATATCTTTCTTGTGCATGAATCAATAGCTTGGACAGACTTCCACAGCTGTGGGATGAGACACAATTGGGAAAACTTTTTACAAACTTCCATCAGACAACAAAGATCTGGCACTGGTCGGCAGTTGCCGAAAATATGCAAGAGGATATCATCGGGTAAGTCCGAAAATCCTGGTGAATTCGCACGTGAAGCAGGAAATACAACGCGCGTGTCATCAATTGATGAATAGACCGCTGCCCGACCGACAGGCTTAGAAGCTTCGATCTGTTGAGATGGCGTTTTCGTGCAATTGACATCTTGATTTCCATCTCTTCCAAGGTATTGACTTGCTAACTCCCGCCTCGCTACTTTGAGAGGTTGAGAACCTGTATCTTCTTCCACCCAAGAGAGGCTTTTCTGGCGTTTCTGTGGCATCATTCGGCTCTCCCGAACAAGTACGAATTAAAGGCCTACAGACGAAGCCCTTCAGCTCCCAACAGCTTCACTCCCAAAGTCTGCAGTGAATGGTTTTTGGGCACGTTGCGAGTTGCCTCTCATGGAAAGCTTGGAATGTTTCACCCAAAGCTGAGATGGAGCTATGGCTGCGTGCCGGAGCGGGGTTGCTGTTTTTGAGTTAGCACCCACCAATTGCAGTACACCAAACAACGCAATTATTGTGGGAGACAAAATAGACGTGTGTGATTCCATGAGCTCCGATGCCCTCCGATCCCTGAGGGAGCGGGTGGCCGTCGGTGACTTTATTGGGTCGCGAGTGCGGTATGCCCTATTGGCTATGTATTATTACTGGGGCGTGCCGTATTGTGGTCCGGATGTAACTACACTGTACTGATGCGGGGTCGGCTTGCGCGCACCATCTGAGCGTCGTTTTTTGGTTTTCTGGATGTAACCACACTCCCCTGACGCGAGTGGTGGTGCGCGAGATTGGTGGCGTGGGGGGGTGGGGGGTGTTGGTGCTCGGTGCGTATATCTGTATGTGCTTTTTGTGCTTCTTGTACAGTGTGGCCTTCAGCGTTTTTGTAAATATATCTGCGTACTGGTCCGTCGTCGGGATTTTGCGTATGGCGAGTTCTCCCTTTTGTGCTGTGTTGTGGAGGTAGTGATAACGGACATCGATGCACTTGCGGCGGCGCGTCGCTCCCATGCTTTTGTCCATTTGGGCTGCTGCCGTGTTATCGACGTGCATTGTGGGGCGAGTGGTTCGGATTCCGGTTTCTGCGATCATTTGTTGCAGCCATCGAGTGTGTGGCTGCTTCTGCCGCTGCTATGTATGCAGCCTCGCAGGTACTTTTTGCCACTACTGGCTGCTGTTTCGCCATCCATTGTACCGGCTCTCCGTTGACCAAGGTGACCATGCCGGTGATGGACTGGCGGGTCGTTTGTTCGTTGGCATAGACCGCGTCCGAGTAAGCGTTGATTACGGCGTTCGTGGCTGTGCTCGCTTGCATCAAGATGCCTTCGTCTCTTGTAGATCTCAGATACTGAGTGAGCCGTTGCGCGAGTTTCCAGTGTCTGAGCGTCGGTTTTTTCAGTGCACGTGCTAGGGCGATGATGGCGAACGCGATTTCAGGGCGTGTACTGTCCGTAATATATCGGATTTCGCCTACAGCTTTCTTATATATGGCGGCAATGTCGGTGCAAATTTCTCGCTCTCCGTGGGGTTCCGTTGGGATGCCGTGCAGATACGGGGTGTTTTGGGGTTTTATTCGTGCTGCGCGAGGACTGTCACTCCATTGTCAATGTGATGGGGTTGTGACATGTGTATCCCTTCCTTGCTGTACCTGATTTTAAAGTTCAGGTACTTTCTTGGTTTTCCCAAGCGTTGAACCTTATATTGTTTTTGGAAGACTGCGTATAGGTCGTCTATGAGGTCTTGTGCTGTTTAATTTGGAAGGAAGTCATCCATACTGATGCCCACTAGGATTGTTTGTCCACCTTGGTGGTTTGTGAACAGTGAGGTGTCAGATCTGATTTGTGTATATCTGTGTTTCTGCAGGTGTCTGTGTAGCTCCGTGCTATATATGCTGTCCGCTGCGGGGGTTCTGTATAGGTTTCCTTTTAATTCCCCATGTGCCGCGCGGTGTTTGTATGTGCCATTGAAGCGTTGCAGTTGCCACACGTAGGAATTGTTTTCGTGTTGGTATCTCTCGTGCAATTACGCTCCGGTATATCGAAATGTTCGATTTTCATGTTCATTGATGCGGCTATGGCGAACAGCGTTCGTATCGTTGCACGGTCTGCCATATACGTGGCCGTTTTTCGGGGTGGTCATGGGGTTTCATGCGGTCTCCCCTTATCGAGCACGTTTCCTTCCTTGCGGTGACCCCCTCGCCATGTCTGTACCGATACGTCATGGTAGTCGCGATTGTAGTACAATTCCGTACGACGACCACCCCGGGGAGATGACAACCCCGCGGGAAGACTGGTGCTACTTTAGCGAGCGGGCGTACATGCGCCCGCCGCCGTGTACAGTATTACCCCAAGAGTCTGACGTGGGACAGCCGGTAGCAGCGGGCGTGGCCACGGGCCACACGTGGTACAACCGCCGGCCAGGATCGCGGCCGCGGGCACACGTTTATAATCTGTACGGTGGCGAATTAGTAAGTAGTAGTTAATGGCACAAATTAAGTAATTGTGTACAGTAGCTGGTACACAGTACGTGGCAGCTACTGTAGCCGGACAGGTGTCCGGGCGTCCCACTTAGGGGTTAAGCCCGGCGACACCTGCCCGTCCCAGTAAAGAGGCACACTCGCCTCCCTTCCCTTTACGGCTAATTGCTATCCCGTTCCGGTTTCCTTTTCAGTCTCTGGCACCTAACCCGTGACCGGCCGTTCGGTTATAACACCACCGTCCGACTACGCGTCACCAGCCACGTGAGCCTTCCCTCTATTCGAGTCTATCCGCACGGTTTGCGTTCGCGCGTGGGTAACCCAGCCGCGCGCGCTCCCTTGCCTCTAACCCCCCTCGTTTCCGAGTGATCGGGACGAAGGTAGTTATACCACAGGGATGATTGCCGTGCGTGCGTTCTTGGGTTTTTGGGATGCCCAGTCTATCGCCTTCACGCTGTCGATTTGTTATAGTTCATCGTCGTGCGCTTGTCCCCATGCGTTGGAGTCTGGATACAGGCGTCCCTGTCTGAGGGTTTTGGGGGGGTTTGTGGTGTGGTCTATTATTCTTGGCACTGTGTTCGTCTTTCGCTTGCTGTTCCGCAGTGATTTTTTGTTGCGGCTTGTGTTCGTGGTTGGCTAGGGCGCGTTTGTTCTGTTCGGTGGTAATGGCCGTTGATGTGGTCGTGCAGGGGTCCCTGTGTTTGTGATATGGACGGAAGTTGTCTGCTCTCATTTTTGAGTATCGACGTGTTACAATGTTTTGTACATAAATGTGTGTCCCATCTATTCCGTACATGCATCGCACTGGTGTTGCTTTGTGTTGGAGCTTTAGTGCGTTTGGCCTGAGGATCGGCGTGTATCCAACTTGGCCGAATGTGAACTTTTTGCGAATGTGGGGTGCCGAGTCGTGCCATGCTGTGTGAGGTATGCTATTCAATCCGTGATGGTACTTTAAGTTATATTTAAATACGGCATCGTAGAGTGCGTCTTGCCATTGGACGTCCGGGAGTTGGCTGTGTGAAAATGTCGCTCTCACTTTTTCCATCAGTGTGCGATTTATTCTTTCGGCTAACGCGTTTTCTTGGGGAGTGTACGGGGTCGTCCGGCGAAAGCGGATGCCTCTTTTCTGGAGTTCTTCTTGTATCGTCTTTGCCAGATATTCCTTCGCGTTGTCGGTTACCAAGAGTCTCGGATATTGCTCGTTCTGCGCCGCTATTTGCTCTATCGCGTTGACGATAATCGTCGGCACTTGGGCTCGATTTGTGAGACAATACACCATACACTCATATTACCGTGTTGCTGTGTCAATCACAGTAATGAATTAATTGCCGTTGTGTGTGGATGTCGGCTTTATCCGTCCGCATACATCTAAGGAGAGGCTGTCTCCTCTTGTGGCATTGTGGGTTGTGCGTCTGTGCGGTCTCGTTGTGGTTTTCCGTCAATACAGCCACAGCAGGTTATCTGCGAGCTGTTGTCCGTTAGTCCTCTGGGGAGTGGCGGGAGAAGGCCGTTCTGGGACATTATGGCAATTGTCTTCGGGTGCGAGTGCTCGAGTAGTAAGTGCCATTCGTGCATGACCTTGTGTGTGGCATTCCGTTTGTTGGTTGTGTGTTTCATCGTGGTTGCTGTTCTCAGCGTGGTTTTTTCGTTGGTCCTGAGTATCGGATACCTTGGTTGTGTGTGCCAATTGTAGTGGGTGCGGGTTGTCCGCTGTGTTGTGGTTGTGAACAGGTTTGTGTTTTTATCATTCGTTTCTTACTGCTGTATGTGCGTGCGCCTTTTGCGTTGTGTGTCGACTTGCTTGTGAGTCGGTATCGTCCTTGTGCGAAGTGTGCCGTGAGTATTGCTGGTGGTACCGTGGTGGGTGCGTGCAGGTGTGCATGCGTCCGTGTGAATGTGACGTGACCGTGTTGAGTCAGGTCGTGGACCGAGAGCAAATTTTGCTTCATCTTCGGTGTGTGCACAGCTGGTACTTGGGCCTTATTCTTCTTCGTCTGGATGTCGATGTGTGTAGTGTGTGCGATGCGTATGCGTTAACACGTTGCAGTTTGGGACAGTGTACCGGTGCTGGGGTGCATGCGCGCGTAGGGTGTAGCGATATGCGTCGGTTGTGCACCGGAACCTAGTATGAATGATTGCTTACCTGCGCTAGCTGCGTGGCGCTCTGCGATCACATCTTCC